TTTTGTAACATGGGAAATATGATTCCCATATGATCACGTAGACTGGGACATGTTCCGGTGTTCTGTCGATTTGTGCTACCCTGTCAGATTTTGCTACCTCCCATTAAAACAGTGGGTAGTACAATTTGACAACGAAAAATGCTACCTGTAAAATTATGGTTTATTAACGTCTACACCTACCACAACCCTAAACCTACCCTTACAGTAATGCAAATACAGTAATTATGTGTTATATTCGCGGTTGTAGCTAGAAGGGATACAGATACCAACAACAAATAATTGACATCCTGTGGTAACTAGGAATTACACAAGCTTCAGTCCGGATCCAGCCCTTACAAAGACCTGAGATTACCGAACACCTGAAATGAGATGATGCCAACCCCTCAGAGGACTTCAAATGATGCCAACCTTGAAACAACATAAACTACCAAATTTTGCTACAAGTTTGATTGCAACATATAATCATTGCTGTTAATAGTGTTCATCGTCTGTTTGATATCTGCCATATGTGCATCAATTTGACGTAGTCACCACTGACAAGCTACTACTACATATATTGTAGAAACTTAATTTTCTGTAAAGCTGTTTTGCAACGATTTGTATCGTGAAAAGCGCTATACAAATAAACTTGAATTGAATTGATCAAAACAGTCCTGTAGTATAGCGTCCGATTGGTCCAACCAGCATTGAATTGTACTGAGGGCAGGTGCTTTCCGTTACAGTTTCTGCTTATTAGCAGACAAGAGCAGAACGGATTATTTTCAATATCTGAAATTTTATTTATTTTTTAAATTATATTTTGAAATAGAGTAGATCTGTTCCTCTAACCAACCTGCATGAGGCCAAAGGCATTGCCATGATCACCCCATCCACCCTCCAGAGCGGCTCCGGCTCTGGACTCTCTAGATATAATGGCAGCAATCACAGCCGGATCCATCAGCTTTGCTTTGCCAACTTTGGTGATCATACTTTTGTAGTTCTCCATCCGGGCCAGATCAGTCTCAGCCAGTTTTTTGGAGGCTTCAACGCCTTTTCAAAATTAAATCATTGTTATAATTATATTACATACTGCTATATATTGATATAATTTGAATGCAGTCATGCATTCTCACCATTTACGTTTAATCTGTCTTGATTAGCTGTTGCCTGTGATGCACCGGTGGTGTCTATTTTCATGATGTTTCCATAAATGCATGCTAGAAAAAAAACATGGAAAATATCAAGTTAGTAAATTACTTTATGCAGAATATTTATACAGCATTACACTATCACAAATTCCTCCTCATTATTCAGACAATATCATATAAAAACAGTCAGCACCTGATGTATTACGTTATATAACTTATTATATAACTTACCCATGATGTTGACTTAGAACTGCTGTGAAAGAGCAATTCTGAACTTGACGAGCCTTGTCACTAAATCAGGACGTGATTATACAGTGATTGCAGAAGCAGTGGTTTCTCTTTTTTCCAGATGTTCTTCCAACTATAGTGTGGAGAAATAAATAACCACTTTTGATGAATGTTAAAAAAAAAAAGGGAAATCTTAGCACTTGCACCAGTGTAAATGCATGCCGAATTTAAACTTTTCTTGGACTTTTAGTTATGGGCCCCAATAGCCAAAATTTGATAAAAATCGACAGTATTTGAATCTCTGAAAAGAAGTAGACTACTGTATGTTTCCCCTCTATATATTTTATTTGAAACATGCATTTTTTTATAATTAATTTGAGGCAAGTACATTACAAACATTTTGTAATATATGTTTATACTGTCTGCAATTGTATTAATACTGAAATTATAAATACAATATTTTCAAATAAATAAATAAATAGTTTTATGAATGATTTAATTCTAGTCTATATGCATAGGCGGAGGGTGAACCAACTAAAAAGGCTAAAAGTAGCCTAATGTTAGTGTAATCTGTTAACTATAATCTGTTATAATCAGTGAAGCTGTCTACACTGTGAAATTAATCTTACTTACATCGTTCGTACATCTGCACTTTCTTTGATGAGATAACTCTCAAGAGCCAAAGAGTATAAGTTCTCTGCAAGAGCTCAGAATTCAGTCAGCGATGACTCATCTAAACGCCTCTGATTGGCTACTGCATTCATAAGCTCAACGGAATCACATGTGACTGGTTATAATGCGCAACACAAGCCGTAATAGGTTTAGTTTAATCACCAGTTTTCATTTATTTTCACTTTCACTTCATTCGACACAGCCGTAATACAATTAGTCCACACTTTTCATTTAATTTTCACGTTCACTTCATTCGAGACAGCCGTAGCCTAATAGATTTAGTTTAATCTACACTTTTCATTAGATTTTCACTTTAACTTTATTCGTGACATCCGTAATAGATTGATTTAGTTTAATTATTCAGGGACAGGCGGAGAGTGGAAAACAAAGGCCCTATAAGGGCTAAAAGTAGCCATATTGTTAAATACAACGCACATCACAAACCCGTTATTTTAGGCAAGTACCAGAAATGGGTGTCATGTCATAAAACTATTTTAATACGACTGAATTTTTATTTAACATGACCACAATTTAATTAAACATTGTAATTTACTAGCTAACTATAACGCTTTCCTTTCCACGGTTATTCAAGCAGCGAATAAATGATAGTAGAGGCTACAGAAAGCGAGCAAAGAAGAACTTTATGACAGTCTAGCGCGAGTTCAAGCATTCTCAAAAAACTCCCCTTATAGGCCTAATCAATGAAAGTAGGAAATTAATCTCTTACTTACATCGTACGTAGATCTGCACTCGGTCATGTAGTTTACTGGTCATTTGGGAGCAGAGGGACTTTCACGGTGGACAGGGGTGGGCCGATCGGAAACGAGATAGACCACCCATATTAGGAGGCTGTTTATTGGAGCGCATGGGGAACTCCAAAAAGACTATTCATTAGATTTATGAGTTACATGAAAGGCACATGATGTGAGTGAATAAATGAAAGAAAAAAAAAAAGTCCGAGATATGGGGTCATACTTGAACAAGTGAAATTTTTCATAGAGAACAGCAAGCTTTATCAAGAAAGAAGTCTTAGGGTGCAGTTTAATTACGCATTTCTAGGACCCTATAGTTTTTTTAAAAATTTGATTTATTTATTTTTTGAATGTATGTATTAGCCGCTCATACTATTTTATAGCACTTGCTATTCAATTATGTGTGCGCGGTTACTGAAACCACGCCTTCTTTCTTTGCGTGCACATTTTGGTGCATTATGCAAATATTTCCACATAGTGACGTAGATATGTGCGGGCGTGTTAGAACGAGCCGTTTTAGGGGGGCGTGGCAGAGTCTTAACTTTGATAAAGAATATCTCTTTGGTTTTGAGACTTTAGTCTTTGCAACTTCAGGGATCTTATCTATTCACGAACAGCTTGTAACACTCCAAAGAGAAAGGAAAACTTGAAATCGCATCATATGACCCCTTTAAAGGAATTATGTATTTTTAATTGCATACACTTAATTATTGTCCTAACCATCTCCTTACCCAAAACATAGCCTACTGTACCCGTTGGTAACCCTCATGAAATATTTAACCTATTTTATTTCAATATATTCAGAGTGAACTCAGATAAAGGGGGCCACTTTTTGTAAAATGAGTAATTTAGAGTAATTTTTTCTTTCCTTTTCTTTTTTACTTTTGTAAACTTTAATGTCCAGCTATAATATTTCAATTTGAATACAGTTCATATATACAGTTTCAAATCAGAATATTGATTAAAAAAAACGAACTCTACAATACATTAAAGATGTGACTATAACACAAGCAACAACAAATAGGCTAAAAAATAATAATAAAAAGAACATTTAAAATGGTAACCATATGTAAAAATGCTTTTCTGTCTATGCTCTTTAAATGGAGATTGCTGACATTACCTCAAACATTCAAGTTCACGCCAGCTCTTACATTAAAAATAAGGAAAGATAAAAAAAAAAAAAACGAATAGTTTCTATGGATCTTTACATCTGTTTGATGTTTAAATCAGGTCTCCTCTGTTGGGATAGAATTGGCTAGATGGCGCTGTCATAAAAAAATAGGGTCCTAGATCTGCGGTTCTGAAACTGGAGCCTCTGGGATTGCAGGAACATAATATTGCTTGCTGCTGCATTCACGGCCTGTAGAGAGCCTTGTGGATATGGCAAGCTATGTCACATTTAATCACACAGGATAAGAAGTACTGTAAGGATATCAAAACTTCAGTCTTCACTTTTAAATGTAATGATTTTTGTAATCACCAATGGCCTTCTTAAAACAAAATCAAATTTTTGATATCAGTAATTGCATTTAAAAACGGCAATTACAAATATAACCAAGGAAACAAGACATTGCATTAGAAGAAGTGTCTAAAAGTTTTACCATCGACACTGTATCTTACTTTGTACATTTGGAAACAAAGCTTGCATCTCTACAGCTGTAATCGTTTTGTAACCAGTGCTGCTGAAAACACTAGAGCTGTTCTGCTCTTGGGTGTGTCTGTAGAAACAAGTCTAATTTACAGGCAAACAAATAAAACCAAAATATGAATGCAATGCATAAAGTTTCACACTAAGCGTTTTCCCATAGAATACTATTATAATAAACAACGCATTGCGTTCATATTCTGACCTCATTTGCTTGCCTGTATATGGTATGCATCATCAAGGTGTACACCGAATTTGATCTTTTAATTTCACTGTCTTACTTTGTTATTATGTGTTTTCTCATGTTAAGTGTTTTAGAATGTCTCGCTGTTTTTAGTGCTTGGAATACAGTGGTGGGTGCTTTATATGGATCGCCAGTGGCCAAAACTTGAATTTTATTCACGCATCTTTGTTTTTCTTCATCTGAGAGGTTATCTAAATGTTTATGGCATGAAATAGATGGAAAATTGGCAGGCCATCAGTTCTCTGCAGGCTTCCGTGCAAGTCATGTGACTGAAAACCAGGAACAATGTAGAATATGTGGTCATTTTAATGTGAATATGGCAAGACCTGAATATGTTGATAAGACGGACAATTTGAGTGGGAAAAAAAAGTTTCTTTCATCTTATCATATGCAGTGACATGTAATTTAGCTCTTAGTTATTGGATTACTTACTGAATACAGAAAACAAAGATATTAAAAGGGATTGTATTACTCAGAAGCTATGTTTAAGTGACACAAATACAGTAACTTCAATAATGAGGAGTAATTCAGTGAAGTTGATACATTGTACATATTTCACAAGAGTTTAACAGCTCAGCAACGGCTGTTCTTCAGTAACCCTTGCTTCTGAACCATTGGGCTCTGGCAACAACATCATTGGAGTAGTCTAGTCCTGTGGTTTTGGCATCGATATTCTCATACGAAGTGACTCTACTCACACCTTTGTTATAGGCTGCTATTCCCCCTGAAACAGACACGAAAACCTCAATCAGACTGATACCATTCTATTTACATTGAACTTTTTAAAGACAATTTAAGATTGATTAATAAATTAATTCATCAAAATTCATCTTTCAAATCAGCATTCTTGCACTTCTCGCTGATGAATCTAATGTGCGTAGTTTCTGAAACAAGACACATTTGTGGTTTCTGAGAGTGGAAGTGTACTACCTTTAAAGCATTGCTCTTGTGTCCACTTGGGAAATTTTACTTTAATTTCTTTAATGAAGCCAATGAGTATCTCTGTAGCTTGTGTGACATGCTGCTCACTGTCCCATGCACCAACCGGAGTGTGGGAGCCGTTGTCAACCTGGAAAAAAAAATGAAGCTTTGAAACAGCAGAAATATTTAGTAACATTTTGCATGGATGATTATTGTGACAACTTAAACACCTTGAACCTTATTTCATGTGCACACTCATACATGTATAAGCCTCATCTTAGGTCTAATTAAATTTTAAATAGAGTAGATTTATAGTTGTAATGAACCTGCATAAGGCCAAAGCCATTGCCTGCGGGTTCCCATCCATTCTTCAGGGCGGCTCCAGCTCTGGACTCTCTGGATATAATGGCAGCAATCACAGCCGGATCCATCTTCTTTGCTTTGCCAACTTTAGTGATCATACTCTTGTATTTCTCCACCCGGGCCAGATCGTGTTCAGAAAGTTTTTTAGAGGCTTCAACCCCTATGACATATTTAAATCATTTTTAAACATATTGTAACATGGTGCTCATTGCATGTATTGGCAAATTAAACAAAAGTGCCATAAGTGATTTGTATGCAGTCATGCATTCTCACCCTTTATGGTTAATTTGTCTTGTTTTGCTGTCGCCTCTGATGCACCGGTGGTGTCTATTTTCATGATGTCTCCATAAATGTATGCTAAAATCAACATGGAAAATATCAAGCCTTTCAAGTCAATTAATAATTATTTATACAGAATATTCAAGCAGTTTTACACTGTCACAAATTGCTCCTCATTATTGAGACAATATTGTATAATAACAGTCTGTGATATTGTATGACTTACCCATGATGTTGATGTAGAACTGCTGTGAAAGAGCAAATCACTGAGTCTGATGAACCTTTTCACTAAATCAGACCTCAGCAGGGCCGGATTATATATGATCGCAGAGGGAGTGGTTTTTCTGTTTATCTCAGATGTTCTTCCTCTATGGTGTGGAGAAATGTAAGGTTACAAAATTTTGAATTTCCTTGTTTGTTTATGTCTTATTATTAGAGCAAACCCTAGCCATTAATGATGAATGAACAGGTTTATAAGGTGCTTCATACACTTTAAAAACGTTTATCATCACTTTTGATGAATCAGCTAGATTCTAGGGAAAGCCCTAACATTGCATGTGCAGGCAAGAGAAGGAAGTGAAGAGAAATAAAATAAAAGCTTGTGGGAAAACTTAGCACTTGTACCAGGTTAAAGCATGCCAAATTTGAACTTCTTTGATAAAATGGTTGTAGGTTTAATTATGGTCAGCAGAATTGAATAGATTTGGCAGTTATCCTCAGAAAAGCACTTTCAATGTAAGGGCCTAAAACAAAAAATAAACATAAACAGACACATTTACAGTATAAAATATAAAAGAATAAACAATATATAATTTGACTGAATTCAATGACTTAATTCTGGTCTTTGTGGATTGTGAGTTATAAGCAAATAGGCATAAATTTACACATTATAGTGCCTGCTTGTAACAAGAAGTTGTCCTTGCTCTTGGCTGAGTATTAGGTAAGATATGAGACCATCCAAATCAGATTTGTTGTGCTTTAAACATCTGTAATACATACGTATGGAAAGATTAATCAACAGATTCAGTGCTGCTTGAAAGTTTGTGAACCCCTCCAAATGTTCTATATTTCTGTATAAATATGATCCAAAACATAATCAGAAGTCCTGAAAGTAAACAAAGAGAACCCAATCAAACAAATGAGACAAAATATACACTTTGTCATTTATAAAAAAAAAAATCTGTTGTTAAATATCTGTGAGTGACAAAAGTATGTGAAACTTTGCTTTTAAGTATCTGGTGTGACCCCATTTTGCAACAATAACTGCATGTAAAGTTTCTTGTAACTGCTGATCAGTCCTGCACAACAGCTTGTAGCAATTGTAGCCCAGTCCTCAGTACAGTACCACTTCAACTCTGTGATGTTGGTGGGTTTCCTCCTATAAACTGCTTGCTTCAGCTCCTTCCACAACATTTCAATTGGATTAAGGTCTGGACTTTGACTAGGCCATTCCAAAACATCAGATTTGTTCTTCTTTAACCATTCTTTAGTAGAACGACTTGTGTGTTTGGGTCAATGTCTTGCTACATGATCCACTTTCTCTTGAGACTCATTTCTCAAACAGATGTCCTGACATTTTCCTTTAGAATTTGATGGTATAATTCAGAATTCATTGTTCCATCAATGATGGCAAGCCGTCCTGGACCAGATGCAGCAAAACAGGCCCAAACCATGATACTCTCACCACCATGTTTTAAAGATGGGATAGGATTCTTATGCTGGAATGCAGTGTTTTCCTTTCTCCAAATATAACACTTCTCATTTAAAACAAAAAGTTCTATTTTGGTCTCATCCTTCCATTAAAACTTTCTCCAATAGCCTCTGGCTTGTCCACATGATATTTAGCAAACTGCAGATGGGCAGCAATGCTCTTTCTGTTCTTTCTCCTTGCAACTCATGCCATGCACACCATGGTTGTGTTCTCCAGTGTTCTCCTCATGATGGACTGATAAACATTAACAATGGCCAATGTGAGAAAGGCCTTTTGCTGTTTAGAAGTCACCCTGGTTTCCTCTGAAACCTTGCGGACTATTGCACGTCTTGCTTTTAGAGTGATCTTTGTTGGTCAATCACTCCTGGGAAGGGTTTCAGTGGTCTTGAATTTACTGAACTTACACAGTCTGTCTGACTGTGGATTTGTGGAGTCCAAACTCTTTAGAGATGTCTTTGTCGTCGGCACCGATAACCTTGTGGGCAACGCATCAACACATTGCGCTTGGTGTCCCGTGTTCAAGTTCCGGCTCGCGGACCTTTCCCGATCCCGTCCCCATCTCTCTCACTCCAACTATGTTTCCTGTATAACCACTGTCCTATCAAATAAAGGGAAAATGCCAAAAAGAGAGATGGCTTTGTATCATTTTCTAGTCTGATGAGCAACAGCAACTCTGCCATGATTCACTTCCACAAACATGATAGATCCCTGTTCTTTAAATAAAACTGGGCATGACCTGACACCTGATAGTCACCTCAGTGAAAACACCTCTGGACAGATGGACTCTAATTTCACCTTCAAATTAACAGCTAATCTGTAATGTTAAAAGATGTCGAGCGTGACAACGTAATTATGGATCCAAATGCAGGCTTTATTGGTAAACGTGGTCAGACAGGCAGGGTCCAGTATCAGCAAACAGTAATATCCAGGCAAAGACAAAAGTGTAATCCATAAACAGGCAAGTGTCAGGACAGGCAGCAAAACAATTGTGAAAACCAGGTAAACAGCCCAAGTTAAAAAAAACCACACGAAGGCAAGGCAAGAAAACACGGGCAGGAAACACAGAAACCAGAAAACGTTACAGGCTAACTCCTCCCTCAATAGCCATACAATACCCAGCAATGTGTGTGTGTGTGTGTGTGTGCATCTTAAATAGTCCTCCTGATATGAAACAGGTGTCAACTGATAATGAGTTCCTGGGCAGAGGGAACCTGGGAAATGGAGTCCGGGGTAAGTGGTAACGGTAAGGGATGGTGTGCCCTCTAGCAGAGCTAATGGGCACTCCAGCTGGCGATCGTAACAGAGCCCCCCCCACCTAAGAAGCAGCTTCAGGACGCACCTCAACAGGAACAGACTTGAGTTCAGTAGGGAGTTGGAGCAGAGGCGGAACAGGGGGAGGGATGGAGGGCCAGGTCCATGTGGAAGTTGTCACCTCTGGAGATTCTGCAGCGAACGCTGCCACCTCTGGAGAAGCAGTAGTAACAGAAGCTTTAATAGACACAGAAAGTTCAGAAACGGCACTTGCGGCCATAAGCATCAGGAAACAGGGAGCGTTCAAAGATAGTGTCCGTGGTCAGAACAGAACTGACAGGTAACACAGAGAGCTTGGGGAAGAGTGCCGCTGCTTTCTCGGGAGGAGCTGAAGTGGACGTCACTGCTATGGGAGGTTCTGTAATGGAAGTTGCCAACTCTGGGAGAGCTGGAGCGCACTCGGGGACTGAAGCAGGCTTGGGAGTGGACTCAGGGACTGGAGCGGGCTCTGGAGCAGACTCAGGGATTGGAGCGGCTCTGGAGTGGACTCAGGGACTGGAACGAGCTCTGGAGTGGACTCAGGGACTGGAGCGGGTTCTGGTTAGGGCTCAGGGACTGCAGCAGACTCGGGATTAGACTAATGGACTAGAGTGGGCTCTGGAGCAGATTCAAGGACTAGAGTGGACTCTGGAGTAGACTCAGGGACTAGAGCAGGTTCTGGAGCAAAGTCAAAGACTAGAGCAGGCTCTGGTGCAAATTCAAGGACTAGAGTGGACTCTGGAGCAGATTCAAGGACTGGAGCAGGCTCGGGAATGGATTCGGGGATCGGAGCAGATGCCACCGCCTCAGGAGGTTCTGCAGCAGAACCTGCCACCTCTGGGGGAACTGCGGTGGTGTGTGCGGCCCAAACACATAGAATGGCCGTAGCCATCACAAGCAAAACAGAGAACACACTGTCTACCTCCGAGACAGATGGCGCATCGAGGTTTGGGGCCTGTGAGTGTTGAGACCAGTGAGCTCGAGAGCTTAGCGGCCGGCAGGCTTGAGTGCGTTGTGGCTGTGGTGCTTGAGAGTGCTGAGGTCACCGGAATGCCAGCAGCTCGCACTGACACCAGCCGTGGGTCCTCCATGCTGGATGCCAGTCTCGAACGCCTTGGGACTGACTTTCGGGGTTCTAGGCATGGTTGACATGACGGGACGAGGCTCTAGAATTGCAGCCAAGACAGGACGAGACTCTGGAACAGCAGCCATGACAGGATGATACTCTGGAATGGCAGCCATTTTGTGGAAAGTCTCTGGGCTGGCAGCCATCTTGAGAAGAGATTCAGGTGAGGGGGCCACAGGACAGGACAGTGCAGAAAACACAGGAGTTGCTATCCTAATAGCTGGACATGGTGGTAGCCCTGATGGGCCAAGTTCCATGGCCACTGGAGCTTGCCGATGTTGGACCCTCCAAAAAACTATTTGGGGTTTTACAGTCCTCTGCTTCTCCCATGGTGCACATAACAGCAGGGCATAATCTGAAAACTGACATAGCTAGCCTCGAGGACCATGGCAAATTATTTCAGTTCTTAACGGTTCATTTAGTCCATGACAAAAGAAATCTATGAGTGCAAATCCAGGAAGTCAGAGTGATAAGCAACATTTAGAAAGTTCTGGATGTGATCCTCAAGGGGCCGATTACCTTGAGAAAGATGGGCGAATCTTATTGCTGGGTCCATGACTGGTCTGGCAGGGTCCAGTATCAGCAAACGGTAATAGTAATATCCAGGCAAAGAAAAAAAGAGTAATCCGTAAACAGGCAAATGTCAGGACAGGCAGCAAAACAATCATAAAAATCAGGTAAACAGTCCAAGATAAAAAAACATGAAGGCAAGGCAAGGCAAGGCAAGGAAACACGGGCAGGAAACACAGAAGCTAGAAAACATTACAGGCTAACAATAGCCACACAATACTCAGCAACATGAGTGTGTGTGTGCATCTTAAATAGTCCTCCTGATATGAAACAGGTGTCAACTGATAATGAGTTCCTGGGCAGAGGGAACCTAGGAAATGGAATCTGGGGTGAATGGTAACAGTAAGAGATGGAGTGCCCTCTAGCAGAGCTCATGGGCGCTCCAGCTGGCCATCGTAAAATAATCCTAACGATTCACATACTTTTGCCATTTACAGATATGTAATATTGGATAATTATCCTGAATAAATAAATGACAAAGAAAATATTTTTGTCCCATTTGTTTGATTGGATTCTCTTTGCCTACTTTCAGCACTTGTGCAAAAGTATGTTTTGGGTCATATCTATGCAGAAATATAGAAAATTCTAAAGGGTTCACAAACTTTCAAGCAGCAAGTAAGTTAGGCATCGGACCAAAAAAAAAATTTGCCACTAGATGGCAGTGAGCTGTTACTCTGTGTTAAATCCTGTAGTAAGATAGTCATTAACAAAAAGCCACATTTGTGTGGCTGTGTCCGGCAGAGTATGTGAGCGGAGTAGAGCAGCAACAATTCCCCTCCGCGCTCCGAGCATTTAATAATCACTCCACTCCGCACTCACTGATCTCAGAAACACCGCTCCGCCTTCACTCCGTGATAACTGTGGTATTTCAGTATGTTTGAAATATCACAGTTCTGTTCATAACCTATATTAAAAAATAAAATAACAGGAGAGTTTTAAAGAGGTTTATTGGAACACTAGTGTGCAAACGTTTTTCCTACCACATGACAAGCTAATTACATGGTTGTCTTTCTGCTCATTCAAAATCGGATACAGATGAAGTGGCACTGTAAGATTACATTTGTTTGAATGCATTATTGAGAGCGATTGCATATGAATAAGTGTTGTAGTAGCCTACTTGTTTAAATCATGCTTTCAGCTGAAAATATTCAGTATCTAGAAGGAACAAACAAATTCCATGAGAACTATAACGTCCTGCTCATGTCCATTGCCGTCATCATAGCCTTCACATTCTTTCTGATTTGAGTGATCCTTCTCTATCAAGCTAGCTAAATATGTTTAACATGTGAATTCTTGCTAAATATGCAGTTATATTGGCACAAATTGTACTCATGATGGAGCGGTGGTGGAGCTTTTAAAAAATCCGCTCCTCGCTCCAGTCAAAATCACACCGCTCCGCTCCCACTCGGCTCCGCTTACATACTCTGATTGTGAGTAACTGTTGCTGTCATGACATATCTATTTCAGAACCAGCCGCTATCAAAATAATCTGGCTGTGGGCGCGATATTATTGCTGGCGGGCCAGTTTTGGCCCGCGGGCTGCCTGTTGCCGACCACTGCTGTATGTGTTACATGAAAGACACATGATGTGAGTGAATAAATGAGTTTTATTTCATACAAACAAATAAAAAACAAAACAAAATACAGAACAGTGAAAAATGGTTCGAATTAACAAAACATAGATTTTTTGTTTTTACTAAAAAGTTTTTACTAGTGACATTCTATCTACTGTGTCATATGCGAGAGCAGGAAGAGGCTCAACATCGCCCTCTATCATCGAGAACCACAAGCTTTATCAAAAAGTTATCTTTCAAGCATACGTTTCGGTGTCTCACTGTGGGATATGCCCCTTCTGCGTATTCCTCAGAAGCCCTATTACATTATGCCAGCCCCAACTGGCTGGCAGATGTGATGTTGTGTCTGGGACACTGTCACTACGACACTCAAAAACCTCTTCTCGCTTCACACCAGAAGCCTACAAATTAGATAAACCTTTAACAAACTCCTGGACGAACGACTGGCCTCCACGCCGTTTTTCTCTTGACTCCTTCAATTTGCATTCCAGCCGATTGCAAGGATTGTTCGATATTACGATGGCTGCAGCAATGCAGACTGTCCCGGCTAGTGAGGGAGATGCCGTGCGACTTTGTTCATGCGGGAACAAAATTTCATGCAAGGACACACACCAGGTCTGCTCTGCATGTCCTGGGCTGAAACATGCTCAATTGGCGATCGAGAATCCAGGTTCCTGTGAACACTGCGCACGCTTCACTATGAAGAGTCTTCATCGCAGGCGAGCACGCCAAGCTAGCCTGTCAGGCCACGATCTCCTCATGTCACCTAGCCCCGTTCCAGCTGCCACTCCGCAGGTACCCATCCCTGTAGAGCTGCCCACAATGTCAGCTTTATCCTGGGGTGAACAACTTGACGTTTGCGTCCCTCTGCCCAGTGTGCTCAACACGGACAAGGAAGAGGACTTGCTTGATTTTGAGGAAGAGGGACAATCAGACTTTCTTCTCTCTGAAGAAGAGGAAGATTTCGAGGACTCCCCTTTCCTCCCCCCTGCGCTCCCGGCACAATCCCTCGCCGCGACGTGATCCACGGAAGATGCGGACGGGGCACCATCCCCTCTTCTCAGTGTTGATCTGCAGGATGTGTGCAAACGCGCTGCAGAGAAACTAAACATTCCGTGGCCGACCGTGGTAGCAGAGGGGTCAGCAGAGCTCATTAACATTTAAAGGAAAATGCTACAAAAACGGCTTGATCTGAAAAGAGCTGTTTTTGACAGGGTAAAAAAGGTGTTCTCTTTCAAGCATACGTTTCGGTGTCTCACTGTGGGATATGCCCCTTCTGCGTATTCCTCAGAAGCCCTATTACATTATGCCAGCCCCAATTGGCTGGCAGACGTGACGTTGTGTCTGGGAGTGGCCTCCCCACCCCTCAGTATAAAGGGCACGACACAACGTCACCACGACATTCAAAAACCTCTTCTCGCTTCACACCAGAAGCCTACAAATTAGATAAACCTTTAACAAACTCCTGGACGAACGACTGGCCTCCACGCCGTTTTTCTCTTGACTCCTTCAATTTGCATTCCAGCCGATTGCAAGGATTGTTCGATATTACGATGGCTGCAGCAATGCAGACTGTCCCGGCTAGTGAGGGAGATGCTGTGCGACTTTGTTCATGCGGGAACAAAATTTCATGCAAGGACACACACCAGGTCTGCTCTGCATGTCCTGGGCTGAAACATGCTCAATTGGCGATCGAGAATCCAGGTTCCTGTGAACACTGCGCACGCTTCACTATGAAGAGTCTTCATCGCAGGCGAGCACGCCAAGCTAGCCTGTCAGGCCACGATCTCCTCATGTCACCTAGCCCCGTTCCAGCTGCCACTCCGCAGGTACCCATCCCTGTAGAGCTGCCCACAATGTCAGCTTTATCCTGGGGTGAACAACTTGACGTTTGCGTCCCTCTGCCCAGTGTGCTCAACACGGACAAGGAAGAGGACTTGCTTGATTTTAAGGAAGAGGGACAATCAGACTTTCTTC